AGATTTTTATTTATATTGAGAATAAAATAAGAGTATTTGGTAACCGAAATAATAATATTAAGAAATTACTTTTATTTTTTTTCTTTCTTTTCATATACTTTAGTCAAATAGAGGTTGGAACTTGACCTTAGGATGTGGAACCCCTACATACTTCTATCCCTTGTGCACACAATGACTAAGGGTTAGAACCTAAACATAGTTGTTGTTCTTCAAACATTTTTCTTCATCTCCACATCATGTTATTGTTGTGCTTCAGTCACAAAATCAAATAAAATAATAATTAGTAAACTTATCAAAAAATGTCAATAAGAAAATTTCATCGAAATAGGTGTGAAAAGTTTATTTACTTTAAGGTAGGCGGTTTACATCTTTACAGAGAGTTGATCAACCAATGCAGTAGAGATATATATAGTATGTCACTTCCAGGATGCTACAGTTTTATAATTATACATTATGAATCTATACTACCCATAGAGTCATCTAATTCAAAACACCCTTCTTTACCCATGAATATTTAGAAGATAAAGGTAAGAAAAATAGAAGAATGTGGAGGAACACACTACTTTGAGCAAAAACACATGTCCTATTTATATGACTTATGATCTTATAACTCTCATTTGTAAGTTAATGATAAAAATAAATTAGCAATTGTTATGACATAATATACCCTTTAGTAGGGTAATTAACTTACAACGGTTAGTTTGACCAAGTCCTTAATAGGACAATAAATTCAATTTAAAAACTATATTATTTATTTTTTATTAAAATATTTAAGTTCTAACAATTTCCCTACTATTTTAATAAAAAAATAAACATTTATTTTGGGCAAAGATGAATTACTATGCATAATAAAGATAGCTAAGTCTTGAACCTTTACTTAGTGAGTCAACAATTCTTAATCCAAAGTCAATAGTGAACTAAGTCTTGAACCATGACGCCATTGGAAGATACAGGAATCATATTACACACATAATAATCCGAATGTTGAGTTTTTCACACAACTGGCACGTTATGGCCTTGTGCATGATCTTGGTTTTTATAGGTAATCTAGAAAATTGTCCATCCAATTTTCATAGAAGCGACCTCACTTCGACACCCACATAGATGAAATTTTTCAAGGGTGCTCCCATAACTAAGACATCCCACTCATTGAGCTACAAATTTCATTAAGAGTATAAAACTCAACCATCAATTCGTTATGGGATAGATGCATTCTCATCTTCGAAATGAGACCAGAAATTTTTCGTTAAATATTAATGCATCTTTTAATAACGACTTCTCTATGATACGTTTTTTCCATTCAAAACCCAATTCTCGGAATTCAGGTTGGGTATCCTCATAAGAAGTTCTACATTATTGAGCTCGAATCTCATTCCCCTCAATGAGCACTGTCATAGTGTTTTCTCTAGCATTTCTCTTTGCTAAAGGCCTAATTGGTGGTATAGTGGGTAATAAAGAGATTCAACTCATTCTTTTTCTCACTTTTTCACATCAACCCACGTGTCTACTAGTTCATAAAATTTGTATTCACATTTCTCAAATTCTCAATTCATGGTACCACAATTTTGACGTCAAATTGAGCTAGCGAACCACCATTTTCTTTCCATACATTTAGAGACATGCATTTAAGAATTTTTAACTCAAACACAATTGTACCTTGTTGTATAATAGGAATGTCCATCACATACCTCTTTTCTCAAATGCCTAATTTTTTTTTTATCATACACCATTATACCATAATTGTATAATACGAATGCAAATCACATTTACTTTGTTAAGCACCATTATACCTTATTGTAAAATAGGAGTGCATATCACATTTGCTTTGTTAAGCACCATTATACCTTATTGTATAATATGAATGCTATGCAAAATCTCAATTAGGCACCACTAGTCTCATCACCAAAACTAATATACAGGGGTATCACAATCCCTCACATTGGAAGCATATCAAATATGTGATTATCACATTTTTCAAATAATTGAGTTCATGAAGAAACTCATTTTCTCACAAAGTTTCATAAGAGCCTATTAGCTCATCTCTCATTTATTGCCACAAATGGCTCATCAGTCATGAAAGTTTTTAAAAATTTAACTTACATTTTCGGCATAAACTAACCCATATTTCATGTCCATTTTTTAGCAAATAGTTGGATGGACCAAATCGGGTAGTTTTTCACTTGGGTTCTCAAAGTTTTCACACTAGACTCATATATTTCACTTTTGCTTTGCATAGTAAATCACTTTAAAATTGTTTTTCCTCGAACATTCTTCTCCATCTCCACATCATGTTATTGTTGTGCCTCAGTTACAAAATCAAATAAAACAATAATTAGTGAACTTATCAAGAAATATCAATAAGAAAATATCATCGAAACAAGCATGAGAAACTTATTTACTTTAAGGCAATTCACGTCTTTGCGAAGAGTAGATTAACCAGTGTAGTAGAGATATATATAGTATGTCGCCTCCAGGATATTACAGCTTTATAATTATACTCTATGAATTTGCACTACCTATAGAGTCATCTAACTCAAAATACCGTTCTTTACACAAGAATATTTAGAAGATAAAATGGAAGAAAAATAGAAAAAAGTGGAGGAACACACTACTTTGAGCAAAAACACATCCTATTTATAAGACTTATGATCTTGTAACTCTCATTTGTAGGTTAATGATAGAAATAAATTAGGCAATTATTATGAAATAATATGCCTTTAAGTAGGATAATTAACCTATAACGACTAGTTTGACTAAGTTTTTAATAAGACAAAAAATTTGATTTGAAAAATATATTATTTTATTTTTTTATTAAAATATTTAAGTTCTAACAAGTTCGACTTCCCACATTTCATTGTCTCTCTTCTTTTATTGCCTAATTAGGGGTTGGGTTCTGAAAACAGGTTCCAACACCTTATTAACAATTCAATTTCTTCACCTACTTTGAGTTAAAAATGGAGAAAATCCTACTTGAGCCTTCACACATCTAAATTTGATCTTTGGGCCCTCTTCTTTCTAACTCTTTGTATTTAAGTCTTTCTCTTCTAATGCTCTCCATTTAATTATTAAATCTTCAATCATCTAAAATAGGACAATTAAGACAATGAATATTTATAAAATTATTTGTATAAAAATATAATTCTTAAACCCATAATTTCATAAATATCAATAATTAAGCACACTTTAAATGTATACTTTTATGTCTTTATCAATATAACACCAAGATTGGTGAACCCCTACCAAGGATCAACATGAGGCTTTTATTAACTTCACCATATCAGAAAAATAAGTAGAGTAGGGTGTCTCTCATGTGGTTTAAAAGTCAGGCATCCCAAACAAAAGAGATACCAAACAAAAAAAAATAAATAAATATTCTTCCTCTGATATTTTCAAAAAAAAAAAAAGAGCTCTTCGTCTGTCATACTTCGACAGATAACTTTTGTAACAAATGAAAATTCATCTCTATTTCCCACTTTGTCACCATCTTCTTTATTAGATGAGTATTTTTTCAATATTATGATTTGTTGAAATTGTGTCAAGCTGATTTTGATTAAGTCTTTGTTTTT